TGTCATCTGCAAACAGTGAGAGTTTTACTTCTTCTTTTCCTATCTGAATTCCTTTTATTTCTTTTTCTGCTCTGATTGCTGTGGCCAAAACTTCCAAAACTATGTTGAATAGCAGTGGTGAGAGTGGGCACCCTTGTCTTGTTCCTGACTTTAAGGGAAATGCTTTCAATTTTTCACCATTGAGGATAATGTTTGCTGTGGGTTTGTCATATATAGCTTTTATTATGTTGAGGTATGTTCCTTCTATGCCTGCTTTCTGGAGAGTTTTTATCATAAATGGATGCTGAATTTTGTCAAAGGCTTTTTCTGCATCTATTGAGATAATCATATAGTTTTTATCTTTCAATTTGTTAATGTGGTGTATTACATTGATTGATTTTTGGATATTAAAGAATCCTTGCATTCCTGGGATAAAGCCCACTTGGTCATGATATATGATCTTTTAAATATGTTTTGGATTCTGTTTGCTAGAATTTTGTTAAGGATTTTTGCATCTATGTTCATCAGTGATATTGGCCTGTAGTTTTCTTTTTCTGTGGCATCTTTGTCTGGTTTTGGTATTAGGGTGATGATGGCCTTCAGTAGTACATTAAAAAGGTCATACACCATGATCAAGTGGGATATATTCTAGGGATACAAGGATGGTCTCACATCCAGAAATCAATCAACATAATATACACCATTAAGAAAAGGAAGATGAAAATAATATGATCATCTCAGTGGATTACAGAAAAAGAATTTGACAAAATTTAACATCTATTTATGATGAAAAACTCCCAATGCAGTGGGTATAGAGGCAACGTGCCTCAACATAATAAATGCTATATATGACAAGCCTAGCATCAGGCTCATTGGTGGAAATCTGAAAGCTTTTCCTCTAAGAGCAGGAATAAGACACGGAGGCCCACTCTTAACTTTTATTTGATAATAAAAGTTCTAGCCAAGTCAATTAGGGAGAAAAAAGAAAAGGCATCCAATTTAGAAAGGAAGAAGCACAGTTATCACTCTTTGCCAATCACAGAGTATATGTAGAAAACCTTTAGACTCCTTCAAAACAAAAGTTAGAGTAAATACTGAATCATAAATGAATTCAGTGATGTTGCAGAATCCAAAATATATAAATACCTGTTGTGCTTCTGTACACTAATAATAAACTAGAAGAGGAAATTAAGAAAATAATGAAAAGAATCAAATACTTAGAGATAAATTTAACCGAGGAGATGAAATACCTGTACACTGAAAACTAGACAGTGATAAAAGACAAAACTAAACGAAAAGTTAATCCATGCTCATTGATGGAAGAATTAAAATTGTTAAAATACCCATACTACCCAAACAGATGTAATGTAATACCTATTAAAATTTCAGTGGCATTTTTTTCACAGAAATTGAATGTGCTTAGTCACTCAGTCATGTCTGACTCTTTGTGACTCCATGGACTATAGCCCACCTGCCCTTGGGGGTTCTCCAGGCAAGAATACTGGAGTGGGTTGCCATGCCCTCCTCCAGGGGATCTTCCCAACCCCGGTCTCCCACATCGCAGGCAGCCACCAGGAAAGCCCCAGAAATAGAATAAACTATCCTAAAATTTGTACGGATTCACAAAAGACCCCAAGTAGCCAAGGCAGTCTTGAGAAAGGACAGAATGCTACAGGCATTGCACGCTGTGATTTCAAACCATCTGACATAGGTATAGTAATCAAACATGGTATTGGCAAAAAACCGTGAAATGAGTCAGGCAAGGGAGGACAGAAATTGCAGGATCTTTCTTATGTGTGGGATCTATAAAAGCAAACAAACTAGACCAAGTTCACAGACACAGGGAACAGATTGGTGACTGCTGGGACACAGAGGGTTGGGGATAGGTGAAGTCAAGGGGAGTAAAAAATTACAGACTTCTAGTTATAAATAAGTCATGGGGTGTAATGCACAGCATGGTGACCAAAGTTGTTAATGCTGGGCTACATATTTCCAAGTTGCTAAGAGTGTATTTTATTTTTTCATTTATTTTTATTAGTCGGAGGCTAATTACCTCACAACATTGCAGTGGGTTTTGTCACACATTAACATGAATCAGCCATGGAGTTACATGTATTCCCCGTCCCGATCCCCCCTCCCACCTCCCTCTCCACCCGATTCCTCTGGGTCTTCCCAGTGCACCAGGCCCAAGCACTTGTCTCATGCATCCAGCCTGGGCTGGTGATCTGTTTCACCCTAGATAATATACATGCTGTTCTCTCGAAACATCCCACCCTCGCCTTCTCCCACAGAGTCCAAAAGTCTGTTCTGTACATCTGTGTGTCTTTTTCTGTTTTGCATATAGGGTTATCATCACCCTCTTTCTAAAAAAAGAGTTGTCAGGACAGGAAAAAAATGTGTAGTATGTGTGGCGACACTCAGCAACTAGCCTTACTGTGATAACCATTGTGGCGGTCACCGCACGATACACATGAATACCAAAGCACTGCGCCGCGCACCTGAAACTGACACGCCAGCTACACTTAGGACTGTTCTAAAAGACCTGTCACAGCGCCCCTTTCCTGTGGCTGCAGTGAGCACACACAAAAGTTTCTCAAACTAACAAGAAACATAATATCATCTCTACTGCCTTGAATATTGTTAGAAAGGTATACTTTAAAAAGGAAGACTCATGTTGTAAAAAGCTGTTTTTAAATTAGCTTATAAATTTAATGTGATCATAATCAGAAACTTAGTGAATTCTGGAGAACTGACAGTCATTTTTAAGTTCTCAGAAGCATAAAGCTTGGAAAATTAAGAAATGTTTTAAAAAGTAACCTAAAGCACTGTTTAGTTTTAATGGGAAAACATTATAAGCCAACAGTATTTAAAATAGTTTGGAACTGGCAGAACAATAGATGGCCAGATGAATGGAACAGATTAGAGTATCCAGAAATAGATCTAAGAATAAACGGGAAATCGCTTATATGACATAGTAGCATTTCAAGACAATGTGGAAATGATGAATTTTTCAATAAGTGAGATTGGGGCAACAGACTAGACATTTGAGGGGAAAATTTGGCTAAATCCCCAGCTCATACCTTAAACCAAAATAAAGTCTGCATGTATCAAATGTTTAATAATAATAAATCAAGCCGTGAAGTGAAAGTTGCTCAGTCGTGCCTGACTCTTTGTGACCCCATGGACTATACAGTTCATGGAATTCTCCAGGCCAAATACTGGAGTGGTAAGCCATTTCCTTCTCCAAGGGATCATCCCAACCCAGGGATCAAACCCAGGTCTCCTGCATTGCAGGCGGATTCTTTACCAGCTGAGCTACCAGGGAAGCCCAAATAAAGACATAAAAAATACTAAAATAAAGCATGGGTGAATATATGTATATCCATGGGTATATATGTATGTGTACTGTGAGTTTATTACATATTTTAATCTTGAAGTGTGGAAGACCTAAGTATACTACAAATCCAGAAGACATGCAATAAGCAAATAAGATACTTGAGACAGAAATTAATCTGTGTGTTTATATTTGTTTAAACAGAATCAGTATTTAATCTGAGAGGAAAGTATTACATAAAATAGATCAAAAGGTTTACTTCAAAGAATCCTTATAAATTAGAAGTAAAAGATGAACAACTCAATAGATAACTTTTAGAAAGATGCTCCATGTCAGTAGTAATCAGAGCAATGACTGTTAAGACAACAATGAGATACCAGTTTTAGTTCTTATTAGATTGACCAAAATGAAAAAGATTGCTGTATTAGGAAAGGTGTGTGTGTGCGTGCATGCTCATTCATGTCTGACTCTGTGCCCTATGAACTACAGCCTGCCAGGCTCCTCTGTCCATGAAATTACCACTTATTAATAGAAGTACAAATTAATAGAACCTATTAGAAGGTAACTCTATTAGATTGTTGAATAGATGTAACCTTTAATTCAACAGTTCCAGAAATCAGTTCTTTGGAAATCACACAGATGGGGTTGGAAGGTACAAAAGATATTCACTTCAACATTGTTTGGAAACCATTTGAGTACATATCCAGAGAGCAAGAGGTTGATTAAATTAATTATTATGGCCATTTCAAAGAATGAGACAGATCTCGATTGCATCCCTAGAAAGTCTGGAAGTGTATGTACCATGAGGTTAACAGTGGGGAGTGTAAGTGCCACGGGATAAATTTCCTATTTTCTTTTTTTTTTCTTAATTTCCTATTTTCATATATTATGTATGGTTTGAGTTTTTAATAGGGTAACTGTATTAAAAATTACTTATGTTTCTAGGAAATAGATACTTAAAAGAATAAAAAAGTACTGCCACTTAAGTTGGCTTAAAGTTTATTCCAAGTATTTTATCATTCATTCAGCAAGTATTTATTATTCACTGCTTGCTAATTGCTATGATTAGCATAGGGAGATAGTAAATATAGTAAGTAAATAATGTATATTGTGCTATGGAGAAAGGAAAGTCTATAGAATAAGATATGGAAGAGTGAATATGCAATTTTCATTGTACATTTAAACAGGATGATAGAGTAGGTATCATTGAAAAGGAGTAAGTCATTGTGATTAAAATTTCATTTGAAGTTTGGAGTATTCTAACTCCAGGCTTGTGGAACTGCATGGTGACCCAGTTTTTCTGTTTTAAATCTAAATTCTTATAAAGAATCTTAGAATTTTCTGTTGAATGTTGAGATTCTGAAATATTACCTGCATAAATAAGAATCATGTGGTAACACCCTGATTTCTGTACTCTACCTGTTGAATCAGATTTTCTGCATTTGGAGCCAGAGGAATATGCATTGTCCACAAGCACCACAGAAATTTTGATGTAAACAGTCCCAGGTCTACACTTTGAGAGTCATGCTTATACCTTTGAGATGAGCCTGCTTCACTCTACCTAGCAACAGACAACTCCCTCATTATTGTTTTTGAATGTGTGATCTCTTGTGTTTATGTATATGTCATTATGACTTGTTTACTTTGTAGGTCAAAGGCAGTTGTCTGTTTTTTTCTCTCTTTAAAGGTATCATCAAATGGTATTCAGTCCACTCCTCTAAATCTTGCAACATATTGGAAATGCAGTGTTGGCACCACAGATGTTAGAGTGGATTATAAGTACAACCCAGAAGCTATGGTGGCGCCAAGTGTGCTTTCCAACATACAGGTGGTGGTACCAGTGGATGGAGGAGTCACAAACATGCAGTCCCTTCCCCCTGCAATATGGTAAAGTAGATTTCTGAATTCTTACTAAATTTCTGTCTGCAGTCCCCCAGTTATAGGACCTAATTTCTGACAGTTGTCTTATAAGTTTGAAAATTTTTAGTGTATTTTCACATAGAAATCATGTTACAAGATGTATTGTACATTTTACTAGTCAAGCTACAGTAGCTTCAAACCAGAATAAACAAACTAGTTTGCTGTCCCCACCCAGACTTGAATGATTCAGTACAACTTTACCCTCAAAATATGTTACTTCTCTAAACTTTTTTTTTCATTTAAAAATAAAGATAATTATTTTACAGAGTTAAATATAGTATCTAGCATATCTATAGGAAAACCTACCTGGTTAGTGTTTAGTATTAGTCCCATCTCTTAACTTCCTCTCTTGCTTCCTCTATTAATGTTAGTATATACTGTAACTACTCTTTGTTTATACTGCTTCACCATTTAATAATAAAACTATTTTCCTTGAGTAATGAAGGTACTTGATCACCTATACATTGTTTTCCTTTCTCTGATCAATAGAATTATATAATTTGGTAAATATCTACTTATTAAGAAAAATAATAGTATTTTTTTTATATTATTAATAAACACATTCTCACCAGTGATACTATTTTAAAGTAAATTTAGCACTAGTTCTAGTGAAATATCTAAAATGTATTATTGGAGTGTTCATCCATGTACAAGGCATTATACTAGACACATTAGCTGAAGATATTTGTTCTTACAGGAATGCAGAACAGATGAAAGCCTTTTGGAAACTGTCTGGTATTTCAGAAAAATCAGAAAATGGAGGTAAGTTTGTGCATGGTTTTTTTGTTTATAATGTAATGGCACTGAAAATGGATCTTTTAGGCATGTTTATGGAAAATTTTCTCCTGGAATTTCATGCCTTCAGTTCCAGAACTGACCACTAGGTGGAAGTTAATACCGTAAAGAAGAGTGGACCAATTGAGATTCAGAACACATTTTTTTCTTCTAGATTGAATGTGAGAAAATGTTTCTCTGTGAGAAAATGTTTTGCTATAACTTTATAAATATTATGTAAATGTTCCTTGTGGTCATGTGCTAACATTGAGAAGATACCTATTAATTTATAGACGTCTGGGAGACCTGATAATTGAAACTGATAACTAATTAAAGTAATTAACATACTCTTTAGTTCATTCTGTTAATAGGGTCTGCCTGGCCTCTCAGAAATAGTACAGAAGCTTTCAGGCTTTAAAAACTCCCCTTGCCTGTCTTGCCTACTCTTTCTCAAGAGAACCTTTCCTTGGTCATTTACCCTTATTAAAACTATTAACAGCCTTTAATTCTGTGATCATTATTTCAAGGAGAAGCAAGTTAATTGATTCCTCCCACCATATCTGCATTTGTTTGTGTTCACAATGCAAAGGAGAAGTCTCTACTAGTTAGTTGATCACTCCTAGTATATCCTGTTGGAGAAGGCAATGGCAGCCCACTCCAGTACTCTTGCCTGGAAATCCCATGGACGGAGGAGCCTGGTAGGCTGGAGTCCACTGGGTCGATAAGAGTCGGACACGACTGAGCAACTTCACTTTCACTTTCATGCATTGGAGAAGGAAATGGCAACCCACTCCAGTGTTCTTGCCTGGAGAATCCCAGGGATGGGGGAGCCTGGTGGGCTGCCCTCTATGGGATCGCACAGAGTTGGACATGACTGAAGTGACTTAGCAGCAGCAGCAGTATATTCTTTAACTCAATTTAGAATATAATTCCCAGGACAGTCTTTAACATTTTAATTACAGTTTCTCTTAATCAAAGGAGACTTCTCCTACCTCTTTTGAATGCCTAATTGAATCTCCTATAACTTTCCCTATTAAGTAGGTTTTTTGGCTTTTCAAGTTTTACTCACTTTTTTCCTTTTGAACATTTTAAGCATCATGTGATTAAAATGTAAAATATATCATCAGTAGTTTTCTTAAAGGTATTTCTGCATAAAAGACCAGGTACATACTTGTATTGTTCACCTCCTGTGCTGAACTAGGCTTTTACTACTAGAGAACCACACATTGGATGAAATAACCCAGCTAATCTCTGGTTCCTTTGTTCATATTTGGTACTTAAAGGTTGCCTATGTTCAAGTGGCAAATGTACTGATTTTTACTCTAGCTGTATGGCTAGGAGATAAAACTGAAATTCCTAGTTGAAACTGGAAGTACAACCAGTTAGCAAGGAAGAAAGGGTATATTTTCCCCATATTTAATGAAACAACATTATTGTAGATATTTGCCAAGAAGGGAATTGTTCTCTGAAAAACAGGATACAAATTTCCTAACTGGGTATTGTAATTATAGTTTCCCTCTGCTGTTCAGGTATCAGAGTGACTATGTGAGGAAATGGAAACATCTTACAAATGTGGTTCTGATTTGGTTAGTCAACCTTTAAAAAGAGATCCCCAAATTAGAATACTATAAAGTAGAAATCTGTTTCTATTTTGGCTTTATGCTCCAGAGAGGAGAAGGAAATAATTCTAAAGTTTAAGGGTTGCCCTGGTGACTGCTCTTGGCCTGTGGTTGCACTGTCACAGAACTGAGTTGCATATCACACACTAAAAGTTTAAGGAGGACTTGGACATGGGCTGAGTTAGACAGCAATTCATTTCCCAACTGATCTGTGTGCCACCAGGTACAATAGTAAAGGATGTGTCTTTGTTATATTTTCTTTCAGATTTCTCTCTGTGGTGTTCAGTTTCTATATGGGGAATCGCAGAATGTCACTGTTGTACCCAGCGATTCTGTCTACTTTCCTCAAACCAGAAGCCTGGGAACGCTCCCTTCCAGGCTCCTCCTCCTGTTTACCTTTCGATTTTAACTCCTGACTGCTTTCCAAATTCATTCTCCTCTTTCCTTCCCCTCAGTGTAGTTCAAATACACCTTTCCTGTCACCTAGAGTCTAGACCATTTTATTGACTTTCGGGTGGTGTCCCTACTTGCATCTTGTACCTTGCTGCCCTTCTAAGATTCTTACCTGAAATGTTTTTTCTTCGTTGTCTTTGGTGGCTCCCTGTGGTTATTTCTTATCGCGGTCTGTAAAGATACTTGGAGCTTTTCCCACCTCCCAGTCTAATATCTTCTTCTGCCCCTTTGCTCCCCTACATCTGTTCTCGGGATCTTCTGGTAGACGTAGTTACCTTAAAGGCATCATGCTGTCAGCTCTCCCATCTCTGCACCTGTAGTTACCTTTTCCTGAAATACACACCATAATCCCCACAGCATTTTATATGCTTTGTGTCCATAGCCTTTGATAGTTTTTTTTTTGCAGCATTTATAATATTCATAATTATATACTATTTCTGCCAGACAGAGGAATGTGGAATAAATGGTTACATTGAAAAGAAAGCCCCTCAGACATATTTGGCATGATTTTAAAAAGAAAGGTGAATACAGAGGTAATACTGATACAGCTTTTCCCAATCTTAGCTATCTTAGCTTCTGTACCTCTCCCGCCCCATGGTACACAGCAGTCATTTCCCTTTGGCTTTAATTCCCATTCATCGCTTCCAGGGCTTCCTTCCTTCCTGCCCTCAGCCTTACTTGTCTTTTGACTAACTTCAACACACACAGCGTAGGAATATCAATAGTAAATCCCTCTGAAGACTGTTATTACGTCAAAGAGAAGCATGGATTAAGATTACTTAATGAAAATTCAGATTCACTGACTAAAATCTGATTTGAAAACAGGACGATGATTCATTTACATGTTTAAAGAATTGGGGATAGGACTGACTTTTTTTAGCTTTTACTTGCTCATTTGCCTTTTTTGGTGTGAAATATAGTATCCTGTATAAGTTCTTTGTTCTTTTCCTTGTAGGTTCTGGGTCCCTCAGAGCAAAATTTGATCTTTCAGAAGGACCCAGTAAACCCACAACACTCGCAGTGCAATTCCTCAGTGAGGGAAGTACGCTTTCAGGAGTAGACACTGAACTGGTAGGCACTGGCTACAGGCTCTCCTTGGTAAAGAAGCGGTTTGCCACTGGTAAGCTGGGAGATTTCAAACTTTTTCATGTACATGGGAAACATTTATATTCTACCAGTTACTAAATGACTTTCAAGTCATTTATAGTCTAAAGGCATGGAAGTGTTTCCTTTGACCTTTGGTACAAAGTGCCAGATAGAGACACGCCTGGGAGAGAGAGTACTCATGGTCAGTATAGCTGAACACCTGTGATCTGATTCTAATGTACTGTAAACAGCAGATGGGGACTGGGGTTTGTATCTGTAACCACAGTGAAAATGTCCTCCTTTGAGTTCATTTGAAATGATAATTGCAAAGGTCTACTTGGTGTTTTCCAGGACGATACCTGGCGGATTGTTGATGGACCTGGGAAAGTGGTTGGCTCAAGGGAGTAGTACAAACCTGCCGTTCTGCATTATTTTTCTTTCCAAACGCTATTCTGACTTGTATTATATCTTTAAGAGCTGACTACAAACATTAAATTGCACTTTTGAAGTGAGTCACCGAAAGAAATAGCACTGAAATGATTTTCAACGCTGTAATGATCAACTGCAATATTCAGGAAAGCACATTTATTCAGATTCTCAGTAAAATGAAGTTTTTATAGGCTGGAAATTTTAAGTTATCTTCAGTGTCTATGTTGAAAAAGGGGCTTATAGTGTAATATGAGGCCTGAAATTTCAGGAGAGCAAGCACAAAATAATTTAGCTTTCTATAAGTTTTTAGAGTCAGAGATAGCTTTTAAACTTTTAAGTTTGATATTGAATGGATACAAACAGAACGTGAATTCTAAGTTTGGGATAATGTTGATAACACTCAATCAAATTGAGTTATGTGCCATAAAGTAATCAGACCAGAGTCCAAGGTGTATGCAAAATTTATAATTTGATTCTCATATTAATAAAGTATAAATGGTGTTTTATATGATTTTTTTAATCCTCAAGTGCAATGTGTTTTAAAATAAGCTTGCAAAAGACAGCAGAGAAATTTGCTTCTGCAGTTAACTTTATAGAAGTTGTGATTGTTTTGATGAATTAATGCTGTAGATTTAATTTATTTTTATATGGATTGCATAATGTGTGCCTTTAAAACAATAACAAAACCCAGAAATGTGCCTATCCAGTTTGTGTTCATTCATGTGCCTCACTTTTTTCCTCACAGTCCAGATTTTGTATTCAGAATCTTAGTCAAGAATTTTTACAAGATAATTGCGATTTTTATAAAACTCTCTGGTTGCAATTGCAATGGGAATTCAAAATAACTAGAGGACAATTTATACTTAAGAACCCTGGCTCCCTTCTTTAGTGTTACACTGTAGCCACTAGAGAAATATAACTAATGGCATGTTTACAGGGAAAAAGATTAACCTTCAAATGTTCTATCTTAACCTTATCAAAAAATCCTGCAAAACCGTAATGGTAAATTGGTAACTGGCATTTTAACTCAGTTTAACATTTCCCGTCACTCTTATTATTGGAAATTTATATATTTATTTACTGAATGTGATGTTAGCATGAGTTTGTAGTAGTTCGTGAGGAACACGCTTTAGAAAAGATCAGTTTTGGCATTTTCAACACTTGGAAAAATTAGCAGTTTTTATGTTCTTTTTCTTATCTAATCACCACCTGCTAAAAATGAGGAAACTATTTGAAATGATGGATTGGGTTAAGCATTTCTTAAAATAAACTACTAATATTAAGTAGTAAAAAACCTAACTTTATAACAAGTCCTGATTAAGTGAAGGAAGTAAATATTTTGGACACAGTTTCATAATTTACAAATGGGAATTTTATTTATAAGGATAAGTACCAGTGTCCTGCATTTTGCATAGAAGGAATAAATTGTGTTATATCTAGTAAATTTATATAGAATCACTAATTGTTCTCCTAAGCTCTACAGAAAGTAAAATCCCTCCCTCTATACATTTATGTAACATCTTGCTATATTAAATACAGCAGAAAATCTACTCATTAGCAATATATATATAACACAATATGTGCTTTTTTAATATATTGTTAGCCCCATTCTAAATTTAGATTTGACTAAAGTAATACATAAGATAATTTGCTAAAATTTTCATCTTTACTAGATAGTGGACAGAATTAGAATTTCTAACATATTGTACCCTTTTAAATGCCAATTACAGTACCTTACTGGAATCTTAACTAATTGCTTTGCAGTCAAACTGCTTTTATTGGGCAGTTAATATTTTATTATTGGATAGACACCATTATATTCACCAGGTTTGTTTTTAATCAAGTATTACCTTAAAATGTACAAACTAGTGAAATGGTTATACTTCTGCACTTTCTTAATTACCAGTCTTCATACCAAGTGTTGGTACATAAATTTGTATCGGGTGCATGTTACAATTTTGAAGCCATATGAGTTTATATTGATTTTTTTCATTTAAAAATCCACTAATGGTGTAAAAAAAGACCAATAGATTTTCAATGGGAGATGTATTTTAGCAAGCTGGTTCTTGCTTATGTATAGTGATAAACTTTGTAGCTGCCTCTTTAACCAAGAATTTGTAAACACAGAACTCTAACAAATGTGAGTTTTTAAGAATTGTTATTTACTACTTTGAAGTGTAATTAGAACAATGCAAATCTTACAATATTTTGTAAATATTTTTGATTTTTCATAAAAATGTAAATTTTACATAAAAGTTGTACCCTTAATAAACATGTAATATATAATTTATTAGTTGGTTTGTGTGTTGTACTTTTGTTGATAGTAATAATAGCTATGTCATAGACACTAGGACAAGGCAAGCTTGGTAAGTAATGAATAATTGGTTTTGGACTTTGTATCACCATTTAGACAGGCATAGAGATTGGTCTGTTACTGAGTTTTAGTTGGTTATATAGGAAAGCTTCATTTAGCATATAACCCAAAAATGCAGAAGTTGTTTAACAGGGGGTTATTTTTGTTTCTAAATATACTTAAATTGATGTTAAGCTTTAGCAAATACTTTCCCCCTGACCAGTTTTTTAGGAACACAGTGTCACAGTTTCAAAATTATACTCTTCCAAGGAACATCGGGCTTTCAGAAACCAGTGGATTTAGGAAGGAGTTTAAAAAAAAAAGAAAAAGATTTCCTCATAAATACTGAAAATTTTGCTGAATCTGTGTCATAAAAAGGACAGGTAGTGTCGGGTTGGGGAACCTGTGTAACAAACAGGTAGCACTCTTAGCATTCATGTCATACACTTCACTTATTTCTTCATTAGTCTCCTTTTTCCCCTTCCCCTGCTCCCACCTGTTATATCCCACCTGATACATCCCACCTGATGCTAGCTGCTATAATAAGTAAGGTCTCAGGAACTTAACACTGTAAAATAGTATTGCTCACATCACAGTTGGAGGTTGGAGGAAGAGCTCTGCTCCTCACAGTAATTCAGGGCAGGCTCCCTCTGTTTTTGTAACTCTGCTCAAAGTCTTCTCCATTTGGCCATTGGATGGGGAAAGAGAGAAAATGGGTATTTGTGGGCCAGGCCCAGAATTGGCATTATTTCTGTTCACATTCCTTTAGCAACAACTCGATCTGTGCTCTCAACTAACTACAAGGAAAGATGGGAAATATATAGTGTGGCCATGTGCCTAGGAGGAAAAGAAAACATGTTTTGATAACACGGTAATCCTCTGACATGTATCCTACCCTTTCTCTATTTGGTTAACTTACTTTATTCCTTTCTCCTAAATGTATTTAATGGTGTCTGTGGCTTTCACTACGAAAGGTCTGTTCTATCATCTCTTGCTATATGTACATATTTTACCCCTACTTTAAATTATATCTGATTATTTCTAACTATATATGATATTTATGATTATTTATAACTCAGAAACCAGTACTTTAATATGCAGCATTTCGTCTGTCAGTAATTTTTTAACTGCAGGTAACACAAAACTAAAAATGTTTTAAACAAAGTGTTTTTCACATAACAAAGTCTGCGAGTTTGTCTGTTGCTGTTATTGGACAGAACAAGTGATTCTCTTGGCATTTTTCTATGGTTGCAATATGGCTGCCACAGCTTCAGATTACATGTTTACATCCAAAGGTAGGAGAGAGGCAGTTTCAGGTATGTCTGTCCTTTTTGTCAGGAGAGTTAAAGCTTTTCCAGCACATTTCTGCTTACTTCCTACTGGCCAGAGTTGTGTAAGGGGCAGAATTGTTTAAAGTAACCTTTATATTAGTAACCTTTATTTTTAAATGATAAAGGAGAAGGGGCTGGGAATGGCTTGAAGATGAGCTGGCCAGCAGATCAACCACAGAATTTCTGACTAGTGGCACTCACTAGTAGTAAAGAACCTGCCTGCCAATGCAGGAGACAGAAGAGACACAAGTTCAGTCCCTGGTTTGGGAAGATGCCCTGGAGGAGGACATGGCAACCCACTCCAGAATTCTTGCCTGGAGAATCCCATGGACAGAGGAGCCTGGAGGGCTACAGTCCATGGGGTCGAAGAGTTGGACATGACTGAAGTGACAGCACACCAATGCACGTGAGCATGTTTCCTTACAGCATATTTCCAATTAGCAAATCTCTGCACTTAGCCCAATCAACTTACTTGACACTTTTAACTCAGCAAGGAGCAGGGTGAACTTGAAAGTGCTCTAAATCTTTTTTTTTATCTTCAGAAGAGTGAATCAGTATAATTTCCCTAAAGAGCAGTTTCCCAAAACCTTTAAAAACCCTATTTATCATTTAAACTAGTAATTCATCACTGTTGGGAATTTGTCCTAAGAAAATGAGACAAGTAAGCAAAGATAAGTTTATAATATGAAAAGCTTAGAAGGATTGGTTAAGTGAGTTGATAACTCCTATTTAGTGAAACACTATATAGGTATTTAAAATAATCATGAGCATGGTTCTACTGAATAGCACAGCAAATACCTATAATAAACCATAATGGAAAAAAACATGAAAATGTGTATATATGTATAACTGAATCACTTTGCCATACACCAGAAACACATTGTAAATCAACTTCAATAAATTAAACAATCATGAAGGTCTATAGTCATTGATAATGAAAAGGTCAGTTTTTATTCCAATCCCAAAGAAGGGGGATGCCAAAGAGTGTTCAAACTACCACACAATTAGACTCATTTCACATGATAGCAAGGTAACGCTCAAAATCCTTCAAACTACGCTTCCAACAGGACGTGAACTGAGAACTTCCAAATTACAAGCTGGATTTAGAAAAGGCGAGGAGTCAAGATGGCAAAATAGGACATGCACTCATCTCCTGAAAGAACACCAAAGTCACAACTAGCTGATGAACGACCATCGACAGGAGGATACTGGCACCTACCAAAAAAAGAATCCCCACATCCAAAGACAAGAAGCCACAGCA